AATTCCCCTGCTCTTAGCCAAAAGCTGAACTGAGTGATGGTGCTGAATTTGAGATCTTTTCCGTTTTTGCTTCTTGGAAATTTTTGCTTCTCCCCTACCCGGCATCAGCAATAATTATAACAGTTACGTGCTACAGTACCTAACCGGGTGATTCAGCATCCCATTTTGTGGTGATCCTGAAGCTTTCGTTCCCATTACTGCCTGTGATGAGGTGGTGATCCATGATGCGCGTCTCTCTGCCTTGCATACCTGTGCCAGGGGAATTTTCCTGGAATAATTATACTCCCCCCAACCCCACAAATCTAATCCCAACTGTTTCTAAAGTGGTTTTCTCTGAAGGTGTGCAGGCAAGTACTGGCACACTACACGCACCTGAAGTGAATGCGGATGGTATCGTCACACAGGAAGCGGGTGGCCGTGGAGCTTGTCCCGTTTGTTTGCAACCTGTTGGTTCTGGGGGGGTGGGGGGTTGGGGAAGCTAAGTGTTAGAGTTATTAGTCAAGAGGGATCAGAATGTTGCGGGGAGGGTATCCTGTGTACCACAAACACTTCCTGCCTCTGTATCGCAAAACAAGAGGAACGGGGGGAGGGGCAGCAACTGCAAGTTGTTACCCATAGCTTAGGTCAACTGGAGCCCGTCCAAGGTCTTTGGCCTGTGCTGTCACAACGAACAGCCTGCTTCATTTTTGTGGGCCCCTTAATGCCTTAATTTTCCCAGGAGCTGCATAACTCCCTCCCCTTCAGCTCTTTTTGCGGTGGCCTGGATGAGAATCACTTTATTAAAGTGATTTATCGGTGGAATTGGATGATTGGTCACCCGGTGTTACTGGCACGACGCTCACCATGAAACTCTACGGCCGTTCCTGGCTGCTGTCCCCAAGTGCGGCTCGTGATGTGCATTTACCAAACTGGGTGTTTTCACCCAAGGTGCCTGGATTATGTGTTGAAGGGTGTCACATCAAGAACTTACCCCAAAATTGTTTGGGTTATTTTGGAATATGAGCAACTTATATCATAACAGCTTTGTTAAATGATTATATTGCCTTCTCGATATTTTAATTCTTCAGAATTTTTCAAAACAATGGTCACATTAAGCAGGCAACTCAATGTCAAAGTCTTAGTGTAGCACCATATTAACTATGAGGGACATGAGGTATTTGTGTGCTGTGTTAATTCTAATTCCACCTTCCAGACGTCTTTTTCAGTTAAAGCCTGATGTCCTTGTAGTGTGATTGATTTAACCAGCCAGGATGCTCTGCTAAGCTCAGTGTCACATCAGGGTTTGAGCCTAGACCTCTTTCCATTGGTCAGTGCTGCTCTGATAAGGCATAATAGAAAAAGGCAAAGATAATCTGTTGAAACAAGTGCTGGGAAATAAGTGGGGTTAGGGGCAAATCTACCTTTAACATTCTAAAGCAAGGAGAAAAATAAATGACAAAGCAACCAAATCAGGTGGCTGAGATTTGAAACATTTTATGGAAAGACAGACATAATAATGTTATTCCAGCTTTGTAAACCTAGTGGAGTAGTATGAGGTTATTAGTGATATGTTAGTTGCTATGTTTCTTGAAAGAAAAAAAGCAAAATGCTTATGAAATCAGTGAAATCCTGCTATTCAGACCTGCTAGATATTTCACTCCCACAAATGGCTTAAATCCCAATACCATCTGTTGCCCAGTCTTGGCAAACATCACCTGATCGCGAACATACTGTTCATGTTTATGCGTTTTTATAGGTACATAATTCTTGAATAAAGTAGGGTGCTTTATGACATCACTGGGTGTGTTTATACTTCTGGGTTCTATACTTAATAAAACAAAAACTGAAAAAAGTCCTAGTTTTCAAGTCAAGTCTAGTGTGGCTTATTGTCACACCATTCTTACACTGGTATATGGTGGCATGAAATAGCATTCCCCTACGATCATGGCGCAACCTACAGTACAACAACAGTGACAGGGGAGGGCTTTCACAGGACAGGGGGGCTGGATGCAAGGGTCTATATGCTGTGCATAGCACTTTGAAAGTATGTAAACAAGCGTGGTTAATGCAGCAGAATAAACAGTAGAATTAATAGTGTCAATAGACTGACGATATATAAATAATAATAAGGTAAAGTGACTAGTGTCTAGTGGAGGAGGAGGGGGGATATTTTTAAGAATGGGTAGCTGGTGGCAGGAGTTTCTGGGAGATGGGTGTCCTTATAGCCTCGGGGAAGAACCTGACTGAACTGGCGCGGATGTTCCTGTTCCTTGTGCCAAAGAGTCTATGGGATAGGCAGAATGGGTTCTCCTCGATGTTGTGGGTGCGCTTGACTGATACCCGTCCTTCCCCTTTGAGCCCATGTGGCTCACTTACAGTCATACCACTCTGAAGGTTTTAAGTTACAGTCGTCTTCAGAGACATGTATCAGGTGCCAGAAAAAATGGGTAATATCTAAATGCACATCCCTAAATTTCCCATGCTGTGTGTGTGTGTGTGTGTGTATGTGCCCTGCGATGCATTGGCATCCCTTCCAGGGTGTAGCCCAGGCATCTAGGGTTTTATCTCTCTGTTGACGTTCTGCAGATTGCATTTGGAAAACTCATCCTGCATTCTGGCTCAGACTAAGGAGAATTAATTGACTGTGGGCCTCAGAGCTGCAGAAGCACCGTGATTGCATTTTGATGTGTCCAATGTGCCTTGCAGCCCTCACAACGACAAACTGAAGCTCTGCCAATCACAACAGCCCCAGATCTGATGACAGTCAGACTGCTCGAGCAAGCAGTTGATGTGATTCTTGAACTGGGTCAAGTGCTTTAAAGACTGGAGGGGAATAGCAGCTGGTAGAATGCAGGGCCTTCGATAAACAAATGATTATGGAGAAGCAACATTTAACAAGATACTTGTATAGAGAGGCGGTGACAGAAGGATATCACCACTGGGAGGAATAATATATATTTTTTTATCTTAGCAAAATTATTGTTTTGTGGCATGAAGTCATGACACTCCTATTGAGTGAGGGGTAGGTAGGGTGTGTGGTGTAACACTCATGTGGCACTCAAGAGGAAGAGGAGGCAATTAGAACTTTCATGATTTTCTCCCCTGGAATGCCTTTGTTTCACTTCCCAAACATTGACGTTCAAGTGTCCAACATGTGCAATTAATGACAGCTCTGATGTGGGTAGGGATGTACTAGATACATACTCTTTTTGCAGAATCTAACAAAAAGTCAAATCAGATTTAAATGTTTCTCTTCATTAGCAACTTGGAGTATATTTATAGACAAAAAGAACATGAAAGAAAAGAGCTTTGGGATCAAAGAAAACGATTCGTATATTCTTGTATTCTTAGGATACACTCAATTATTCAATGTCCACTTTTCACCCATGTTTACATTAATCTTATCTGGCTTGTAATTCTACAATATTTTGCTATTTATTCAGCTGGCTGTTTAATGAAGCTGCTCTGTATCTTATGCAAGAGCGCGAGAAGAGTTTCCCCTCCACAAAAAAGGTCTGACGCTCTTAGGTTCTCTCGCTTCCCTGTTGCTTCCAAACAGGCTAAAGGTGAGCACTGGTTATGGTATCATTATGTGTGGATAAAGGATAAGAGAGGACAGGAAAAGGGGCCTTTGGCATCGTTTCACAGTCTCAACTCATGAGCCCTTTGGATCAAATGTTCTGTGTGCCCACCATGTAATTTTAGGTGGCATTATGCACCCTGGTTGAGGCTGGGCTGAGAAGCTAAACATTTACAATGCAAAAACAAGCAAAATGCTGCAATAGAATGCTCAGCATGCTCCTTGGGTTGTTTATGCTGCCATCATCCTATGTTTGAGTCTTGTTTACACTTGCCTCTTCCTACTGAAAGGTTGTGTCATTGCTAGTACAAGTATGCTGTGAATAATTTGAACCATCAGGTAATACGAAAAACAACAAAGCTCACTGATGTTGCCTCTGACGGACCTCATTGTGGTTTTGCTACATGAAAGAGAGTGAAATTTTTGTGAGTTTGTGTGTAGGTATATATGTGCAGCTTTGGAGATTGGTCTGTGAAAGATGCTGCGGTCAATGATTCCCAGAAGCCCACGTGTCATGTGTTTGGTTTATTTCCTGGAGCGTATTTTGTTTAGCTTTGTCTTGGTGCACTGATTGGACAGCAGAAATGACACCAGACACTTGCAAGTATGCACTGCATGTGACGGACGAGGACAAAAGGCCATAGGAGTCACATCTGAATAGACCTTCACAAAAACAAGTCCCTCCTGTGACTCTAACCTGCATCCTACTATCTAAAAATGCAGCATGCAACAGCTATTTCATAACCAGTTCAAGTCCCAGGACCAGCTTTGCCTCAGACCCCTTGACAAGGCTGCCAACTCTCACGCATCTGGTGTGACACTCACACATTCAGACTCTCATGTAAACTTATGCAAGGAATCTTACAGGAAATCTATATTATTCCATTATTATTCCATTATACACCTAAAATTAGCAACATCAAATCTTTGCGGTAGTTTGCAAACTATTTCGAAGGTAATAAAACTGCTACATATATGTAAATACGTATGTTTGTGTGTGCAGACTTGTCTTGAATTGAGAATGTCAGGCTAGCCCTGCCTTGAATCTTGTGCTTAACCTGAATTTCTCCAGTAAAATATTAGCTGTCATAAATATATATCTACCTTGCACCAAAGTTTCAAAGTGCTGTATAATGATAATCAGTACCTGCTCTGTTTACGATTCAGGATGAACAAACTGCAGTTTATTTCTGATACCTTGGGACCAAATAAAGAAGGACGGTACGGTTCAGGGTATACCGTACACGATATAATTGGAGAGAGCTGGGTAAGTCTGTGATTTCGGTGTATATTAATTAAACAGCAGTTCGGATTTTGTTTCGAAAAATGTTTCGCCCCCCTTTCGTCGAAAACGGCGCGTTATAATAACGCAGCACGTGAGTGTGAATCTGCCCATAAATGAATGAAATCGGACCTGCTTGCGTGCGAGGCGCGTGGGCGGTCCGCGACGGGGCGCGCGGCGATCTCATTCAATCTTCTAACGGTCGGACACTCTGGCGGCATCATTAAATATGAACTTACACACGGGGCGACGTCTGAAAACCGTGCAATTTCTGCCCGTTGACAGCTTCTGGTAAGTAGACGTTGGCTTACGATACAAAAATCACCGAGTAAAGTTTCTGCCAAGTCACACAGTAGCCAGTAAATTTCCCGTCTTAAAATAAACCTCAGATGGATGGTTGGCGACTATTCTGAGTGAGGTCCAAGTTTAGTAGCCTACTGTTCATTGGCAAAGGGATGTGATGTTACTATCCCAACAAACACATTTCAAACACTCTGACAGAGTCCTCAAGATGAGATAAATTACACACTTTAAAAATAAGAACAGCATTAACTGGTAGCGACACTAAATATTTTACAGCTCTTTGTTTGGGGGCGGAGCGGGAGTCCGCAGTCATATTATCATTGCATTAAATCCAGGAGTAATTAATTGTACACATTACAGGTACACAATAGTCATGAATATTTTAAATGAAGGGCACTGTTAGAGTTTGAGCTGATGCCACACTAGTGTCTGTGGTGCACGTGGCTCACCCACTATTTCTCACTACTCTGTCATGATGGAAAACAGCTGCAAAGATCGCAGCATGAGCCTACAGAAGCCTGTTAATCACCCCTCCTGCACAGCTTTGTCCCACAGTTACACCTTGTTGCATCATAAAATCTGGTTTAAATACATATTTTTAAAACAATGGAAAAATGATTTTTTTTTTCAACCCCAACAGGTCATTTACTGATTTTCTATTAAAACATATGTAATGGGAAGGAGATGTTTGGTTTGAATTGGTACTTTTCTTCATGCTTGTGTTTGGTGATGCATAATCATGTTTAGGGTATATGCTGACTTGTGAAAAGTATATGTTAAAGAAGAAGGTATGAGTATTAGTATGGGTTTGTGCTCTGTTTTTATCTGAATCTGTGACAGTGATACCACATGGTGTGGGCACATTCGCCCCCAAATGTCAGCCTGCAGCATGTGGAGAACAATTGACGGAACCAGCTGGGATGTAGAGTGAAGAAGCCTGTTTACAAACAGACAGTCCTAAGGGGGACTGGATGGTAAAATGGCCTGCTTTTTGCCAGGTGAACTTTGGGTTCTCAACCCCCGGATGCTGCCCTACGTCATGCCCCCTTCAGGTTATCATGGCCACTGTTTGGGGGCATGTGTAAGGCAAAGGTCTGGGCTCTGCCTAAGCCTTGGATGACACATGGCCCAGTAGATATAGCTAAAATGGGTGCCCTTTTTTAACCTCTTTGTTTTTAACATACGAGAATACAATAACAAACATTGGCGATCAAAAGGCTCGTGAGATCTTTTTTGAATCAAGATGTGTGATTGTGCACCCCCCACCCCTCAGACAACCCCTACTGTGTCCCTGCTGTTTTGTTTGTCACACCCTGCAAGGAAAGGTCCACAACAAATCCTGTCTGAGAAACCTCTGTAATAGCCTTCATGTTGAATCATTGCATTGTATCTGAATTTGCAACTCCTTTCACTATATTCCTTAATTATTGCTGCTTTATGGGTACTTTTTTAAGCTTCCAACTAAAAAATGAGGTCACTATAGGACCTGACGGGTTCAAACCCCTTTTTTTACTTGTAAGATGTGGTCGGCGTTAATCCATGACATTGCTGACAGTAAGAGGTGCCGCCATCTGTGTTAACTCTCAAAGATGACATGACATTTTCACAAATTATAAATTATGCAGAAGGTACTTGCTGGGCACAAGTCCTAAGGTTTCATTTGATTCTGTTCCTCTTAGTTTTGATTTTTGACATTTGTTCCACTTTAAATGCTACCTGAATAAATAGCTTTTTTATCTTTGCTGGGAATATAATTGAGTTGCAGGTAGTCTATGTACCAAATAAATGAGTAGTATGAATAAATAACATATCTGTTCTCCATTTCACAGCCCTTTGTGCTGGTCCTTGGACCCCTTGAGGTTGCTGCTGTGTATGTAGGTTTTTTTTTCCATAGGCAGTATTATGGGAGGATCGAAGTCAGGAAACTGGGGTGAGGCTTTGAAATCACTGGCCTTCTCTCTATCATTTCCTGAAAGGTAAAGGAAGTGGCCGGTATATTTAGCACACAGCTGTCCTCGATGGAAACATTCAAGGCCCCCTGATGGACGGTGGATGGACGGTTGGGGTGCGGATATGGGAGGGAAAGGCGCTCTTGCAGTCTTTCACGTCTGTGCTCACTGACGCTGGATGGGTGCCATAGCGAGAATATGTTCATGCTGCGATTGTGTGATGCTGGAACTTGATTTCAGAAGTGTAAATAAAATGCTGGCCAAATTAGCTTTTAGGAACTCCACCTGTAGATAACCATTGAAGTGACCTCTGCGTATTCATCTGAATCTGGAATTCAGTACTCCTATACCAGGGAAAGACCCCTGGCTGGTCAATGCTTTTGTATAAAAAAAGAGAAGTAGTACCCTCAATTAAAAATTTTAAATGATAAAAAAGTGAAGGTACTGCTAGCTGTATCAAGTAAAGGCATATATATATATACACACACACACACACAAGTATAGAAATTGATCATGGTGCCAGCCCATTTCAGGGTGCACACTCATACATTCGGTCAGTTTAGGCACTCCAGTTCACTTTAACTTAAATTGCATGTTTTTGGATTATTGAGGGAAACCAAAGGATCCTGTGTAAAAACACACACACACACACGGGGAGAACTTGCAAGCTCCACACACACAAGATGACAGTGTATGGTGAGAGCTATCCATTACACCACTGAAAATACAGGTAAGTTTAGCAAAATAATTAAATTCAAAGTGATGACAAAGGCTAGGGTACTCCAAGAGGCTAAAGAGCACATAGCTTATAGTTATCCATTGTTAACCTCAACTTATTGAGGCTGTAGATGTCTTCTCTTAAGATATTGTTGCATTGCAGTTAGGGGTAAGTATTGTTAAGATTTTACCGATACCAATATCATATCAATATCATACTCAATTGTTGCATTTTTACTCAAGCATTATTAAATTAAATGCGTTTTTATTCAAGCTTTATTAAATACAATGCAATTTTATTCGACTATTGTAATTCAGTGTGCTGTTTTGCATCAATGACTTTTGTCATTAATTTATTTCCATAAGCACTGCATTTACTAAAGTGAACCCATACTGTTGAACACTATACTCTATCTGTCACGATGACTGGAGAGAACAGTATATGAACATGCACTTATGCAAGTAAAATGTGATCTCCTGATGCCTGCAGTCATCATCATTAGGGGACAATTTAAAAACGTTGCCATGTGAGGGCTCTTTTCCACCGTAACAGGCACTGTACTTATGGTACAGTACTTTCACTACTTTCCTTTTTCCATTGACTTCCGGTCGCGTACCAGTTTCAAAAGTTCCAGTATCGAAAGTGCCAAACTGGGGTGCTTTTTTGGTACTTTGGAGAGGGACTTGAAACATTTTCTATGTTGATTGGTTATGCAAATAGCCTGCCTCTGAAACACAATACAACTGCCATCTTTAAAAAAGTTGTATACTCAGAGCAACAATAAATGAAGTAAAAAATAAAAGCAATAATAATGGATGCATGGACAAATGTAACACCCAAGCATTAACTGGAAGAACAGATACAACAAGATCAGGACAAAAAATACTTGGTGACATAAGGCTTAGAATGAATTAACGACAAAAATACCAATAGTGGCACTGTTTGTCCTGGAACATATCGATAGTATTGGTATCGCTCAGTTCCGAACTGGTACCAATTCAGTACCGGTTCTCGACATCCATCCCTAATTGCAGTTCCGGTAATGTAATAGGCCTATTTAACTTATGCGATGACAGCATTTTCATTAACTTTTAATCTGAAGCAAATTTTAAACGATGTGTTCTTCTTGAGTCGTTGAAATTAATTGAGGAATCGTGACAGCTCTACTTAACACTATTATTATAACAGAATGAATATCATGATTATAATGAAATATTGTGATATAATATTTTTGCTATGTTGCCCATTCCTATTTTCCTCTGTTTGTTGCCTCAATGACGTCACCATTTCCACTTTTGTACCAGGATATCAACCTCAGTTTTAAAAGTGATTAACAGTCAGCAAAATCATTCCATCTGAGACTAGCTGTCTAGACAAGGCTGTGTTTAGAGCAAAATTATCACTACTCATTGTTGTATGAATGTCAAGTCTGGTCTTTCAGTAAGTCTAAGACTTAAGCATTTCTCAGGAGGATTACCGACTACTGGTTTTGCCAGCTGTTAATTTTTCTCAGGCACTGATTATAGTTCTGTGTTGTTTTTTAATGATAACTGAGCAGACAGTAGTATAAGAACCTAGGTTTGCATCCTAAAGGTTCAAGTTGTTGGATCTGGTCTCTGGGAAAAAGTACTAAGTGTATAATACATAATAGTCTTTTATGTTATTGGATATGTCTGGTGGCATTTAAAAAAAAATTCAAATGAAAACTCTGCTCAAGGGTGCAGCTGCATGGATCCTTCTGGGTATTTTGCTTGCCCTGTAGCCTGTGCCTGTCTGAAAATTCAATACATCGTGTGGGTGGCTCTTCCCTTCTGCGGTAGTTCTCTTAGAGCTCATGAGATCTTGATTCATGGCCTACACTGAGAATGGAGCCTCGCACCTGATTAGCATCCTGATTGTGGAAGTACCGCCTCTCGGATGTTGCATTGGAGTAACGCGGCAATGAGGGGCACGTTGTAAGTGTAAACTGGTTCATTGACTATGGAGAAGTTCAGTAAAAGGCCTCAATTTTGCAAGTGTCTCAGTAACGTTATTAGTAATGAAATCATTGTGACAAGAAAAAAGAGAACAGAATTGTCAATACAGACCCCAAAGGGGGACATGCATGGCATTACAGTAGGTGACTTCTTGTGTCACTCAATGACTGTTCTTTATACTGTAGGTAATGAGTACAAGTAGAAATGGAGAATGATGGCACAAAGTAAAACAGACAGTGGATCTATATATATATATATATAATTTTTTTTTCCAGCCTACTATGCTTTGTCATTTTGGGAAAGTAGTGTCAGAATGCTTGTTTGTCTGGGGAGTGGGGTTTAGTT